ACTTTCTTGCCACAGGTGTTAAGTGAATCACTGCAGTTGTTAAGTTAGTTGTCAATGCTGCTAACATTGGATGTTCTTGCTTTGACAACATATGGAGATGCAGCCTTTTTCTTTCTTATGCTTTACTCTTAGAACTGGATGATACTGGGGGAGGAGGAGGAATGTGATGGGAGTTAGTTAGACATAACAATATTATAATAGTGTGTGAACTCAGGGCTTTTGAAATAAGAGATGATAAGCAATGGTGGGTTGGTGTAAAGGAGGGAAAGCCTGCATTTCAAACTAATTGGAGAATGTGATTTATGACTGTTAATTAGAGGAAGGAATTGTGCTTTGATACTATGTGCTCAGGGGAGGGGAATCCAGATTTTGGCTTAGCTTATGTATGTGCCGATGCTATGCTGCTCAAATAAAGATTCTTTAAGGTAAACAATGCCTCAAAGTTCTTTGAAGAGTTTCATCTGTCGGAACCATGACATTAGTAACACGATTGTTAAGTGAATCTGGCTTCCCCATTGACTTGGCTTGTCAGAAGGTGGCAAAAAGGGATCATGTGACCCCGGAGACACTACAACAGTCATAAATATGAGCCAGTGCGAGATTGTATAATATTGTATTATATAGGGGAATATATATATATATATATAGAGAGAGAGATGTATACATAGAACTTTAAGTATGATAAGGAACGAATTGTTAGGATTATATATACTGGAGTGTCATGTCATGTCCTTTTTTGTTTTAATTGTTTTATTAATAATTTTTTTAAAAAAAAAATAATAATAAATAAATAAATATGAGCCAGTGGCCCAGCCTCTGAATTTTGATCACGTGACTGTGGGGATGCCACAACAGTCGTTAAGTGTGAAAAATGGTCATAAGTCACTTTTTTCAGTGGCATTGTAACTTCAAATGGTCACTAAATGAATTGTTGTTCAGCCGAGGACTACCAGTAAAAACAGAGAAAGCAGAAACAGGCCCAAGAACAGATCAAATGTCTGGGTGAAAATATCTTTTTCTTGTCAATTCGTAACTCGCACAAGGCATCTGAAGAAGAGTCTCTCACCATCCCGGCTCGGCAGCTTGGAGCCACAGGCAGGAGGTTCTCCAGAAAAACTCTCCTGTCTAAAAGTTTCTATTACAATCCAATTTTACAAACAGGTGGGAGGGTTTTCCCCCTGCTTTGCCCACCTAACATCTGGGGGTTTATCGGCCTCACAGTCAGCTAGTCTAGTTACTAAGTTCTGGAGGAGAAGCACGATTGACAGATGACTAACTTTGGTCCTAAAGACAAGGATTCCTCCTACATGCCTCTNTGATTAACAAAACACTTAAAAGGACTTTCAGGCATATTTTTTCCTAAAAGCATTTATTAAGGTTACAGAGACGTCAGTACAGCATGGTGGAAATGCTTAGGTCTGGCTTCTTTTCCGTTACGCATATACAATTCTAAGCATTTCCCCCCCCCCTTATTTTGGGGTCATGGTTCACATCTTCCAATCAACTTGGAAGATGTGATTTACTTCCGGTTTCTTTTTCCCGGGCTATCCTTATTCTCCTCCCTTTTTCCCAGTTGCTGGTTTAACTATAAAAATACCAGACAGTTCTGCATATTGTCAAAGCAAGAATATACAGTATTTGCAGCGTTGACACCCTATGCCTGCCTGCCTGCCTGCCTTCCCACCCAGTCTTGATAGGCACTATGTTTTGCCTACCAAAATCTCTGCTTCAACAGCCCCACTGGCTCCTAGTTCATTGCAGAACACAACTCAGTCCCTTGCAAGCAAGTTCCATCAAGGCAAATCAAGATATGACTAGAAACCACCACAACTCTCTGATTTCACAAAACAAAGGCTGTTTTGTCTATAGCCGCTCCAATGTTGTTGTTATTAAGCCATGAGGATAGCCCTGTGCCCTTTCCCTGTTACCATGGAGATCTTCAACGCTGTCCACACGGAGATGCCGTTTCCGCTGGACGAAAATGACCACACTGAATTCTAATTGGGGAGCCGAGTAGCTGTACTGAAAAAGAGACACCCAAGTATTAGTCTTGCAAAACACATAAGATTACAGGTAGTCCTCGATTTATGATCACAATTGGGACCAGAATTTTTCTGTTGCTAAGCAAAGCGGTTGTTAGGTGCGTTGGGCCTGGTCTCACAACCTTCTTTTTTGCCACCGTTAAGTGACTCATGTGGTTGTTAAGCGAATCCGGCTTCCCCTATTGGCTTTGCTTGGAAGCCAGCTGGGAAGGCCGCAAAAGGCTACCACAGGGGTAGGCAACCTTGACTCTTTTATGACTCTTGGACTTCAACTCCCAGAATTCCTGAGCCAGCATGGCTCAGCTTGGAAACCTCTCCCTTTCCCCTCAGCATGGCTGGCTCAGGAATTCTGGGAGTTGAAGTCCACGAGTCATAAAAGAGCCCAGGTTGCCTACCCCTAGGCTACCACATGACCTCGGGATACTACAACTCTTGTGAATACAAGCCGGTTGCCAGGCACCTGAATTTTGATCACCTGACCATCAGGGTGCTGCAACAGTTGTTAAGGGCAAGGACTGGTTGTAAGTAATTTTTCCCCCCAGTGTTGTTGTAATTTAAATAGATGCTAAACAAATGGCTATAAGTTGAGGACTACCTCTATGTTATTGGTATTTTTTAAGGGAGGGGGGGGGAGAAAGGAAAAACAATATTGGATCTAAAGATTTCCTTCGAAGTTATATCATATTTTTTTCCCTTTTCCCCTCATACATTACATGATTTTTGTACACAGGGAAAATGAAACCATAACAAACCCGATAAAAGATGGCAAGCGCGAGGGGCTGGGTGGAATGAAGTTAGGGGTCTCTCCCTCTCACTCCCTACAAGGCAGGGGTCCTCAAACGTGGCCACTTTTAAGACTTGTGGACTTCAACTCCCAGAATTCCCCAGCCAGCCATGCTGGCTGGGGAATTCTGGGAGTTGAAGTCCACAAGTCTTAAAAGTGGCCAAGTTTGAGGACCCCTGCTACAAGGCCTGGGTGAAGAGTAAGGTCTCAATGGCTCTTCTAAACAACAGCAGAGAGCAAGCACAACTACGGAGGAGGCACCAGTCCGGGGTCTCATTAGCCAACGTGGTTTAATTGAAGGAATTTGGAGAATGACAATCCTGCAAGATGGAATGGACTGGGAAAACACTATGGGAGACAGGTGGTCCTTCAAGTAACTAGGCCTTATATTATGTAGAGCTTTGTGGGTAGCAACCAGCACCTCCAATCACACCTGGAAGGAAACAGGCAACTAGTGCAGCAGCTCATGAAGCAGAGGTGTTACGTGGGCACATCAAAACATGACTATGTCTATTCACACTGCTGCATTCTGAAGCTGAAGCTTCAGAGTGCTCTTCAGAACAGCCCCCGTGTAGAGCACATATATTATGCAATTACAAGTGTTTTGGGATTTGTATAAACTTCTACAAATGTTATCACTGCAATTTGTAGCAGGCAGTACAGCTACCTGGGCTCTTAGGGACTATTCCACTCACTTTGCGGCAGCAGTGCCCTGTTTTGTTTCGTCATTTCTTCCTCCTAACCATCAAACTGTTGTGTGCCTCTTGAATATACTCACTGAACTGATACTATGAGCTTAGGATTTTTTTTTTCTCTGAAAAGTGTTTGTATTCCTTGGATTTTCCTCTTAGCGTTATCAATGAGGTCATCAATAATAATAGGAAAGAATAATGGAATTCTGCCTTGGGGAAATAGGTTGGCTTTCTAGATGCTTGCTTTTTGCAGTTCAGATTTTAGAAATAAAAATCAAACGGTACGAGATTCTTTTCTTTTGTTAACGGCTTTCCAGATGGTTTGAATGTTCTTTTTACAAGCTGATTTAGATCGTTTTAACACTCATCTTTTTACTTTTTCCCAATTATTTCAGCTGATGACAGGAACATCTGGAGTAGTGTGAAGGATTACTCTTTTTAGCTACAATTAAATGACTCTGAGTAATCTCAGAAAGTTAACAAACCTACTTTTAGTGTCTCTAAGAGCAGCAAGAAATCCCAGAGCGGTAGGCTAAATTCGAAAGTTAAAATTGTATCTTGGCAGAAAATGGCACACAACTTCCCTATTTTTGCCAGAGATACAAATGTGACCAGGACTTGATTTTGGCTCAATCAAGGCATCAGTACAGCTGAGACCAGCTACGGGACTTGGGTCTGGCTAGTCTAAAGAAAAGAAGAAATAGGGGAGACGTGATAGCAGTGTTCCCGTATCTGAGCGGCTGCCACAAGGCAGAGGGGGGCCAGGTTGTTCACCAAAGCACCAGAGGGAAGGACGAGAAACAATGGTTGGAAACTGACCAAAGAGAGAAGCAACCTGGAATTAAGGAGAAACTTCCTGACAGCGAGGACAATTAACCAGTGGAACAGCTTGCCTCCAGAAATCATGGGCGCTCCATCAGTGGAGGTTTTTAAGAAGAGGCTAGACAGACACTTGTCTGAAATGGTATAGGTTCTCCTGCTTGAGCAGGGGGCTGGACTAGAAGACCTCCAAGGTCCCTTCCAGCTTCTATTCTATTCTATTCTATTCTATTCTATTCTATTCTATTCTATTCTATTCTATTCTATTCTATTCTATTCTGTTTTCTTCCTTCTCCCGAATTTTTTCATCACTGAATATTCCAGCTGGTCACCAAGCATTTACTGGCTTTCCTGTTTCTCCCCCATTCTATTTCCCTTTGTATCTTGGCTGTTAAGATACTGAAGAGGGGGAGTAACATATTTCTGATGACAGATTTACAAACTTTATACCCAGCCTACTTTGACTTACACTTTGGCAGCCACCGAAAATCACTCAACATGTGGGTGGTCTTTTAAAAATATCAAATAAGATGCATGGATATATATGAGAGCCAGTTTGGGATAATAGTTGAGGCACCAGGCTAGAAAGCAAGAGACTGCGAGTTCTAATCCTGCCTTAGGCACAAAGCCAGCTGGGCCAGTCTCTCTCAGCCCAACTCAGCTCACGAGGTTGTTGTTGGGGGGGGAAATAAGAGGAATAACGAAGAGAAGGACGAGGGGGGACGTGATAGCAGTGTTCCAATATCTCAGGGGCTGCCACAAAGAAGAGGGAGTCAAGCTATTCTCCAAGGCGCCTGAAGGCAGGACAAGAAGCAACGGATGGAAACTAATCAAAGAGAGAAGCAACCTAGAACTAAGGAGAAACTTCCTGACAGTTAGAACAATTAACCAGTGGAACAACCTGCCTCCAGAAGCGGTGAATGCTCCAACACTGGAAGCTTTTAAGAAGAGACTGGATGGCCATTTGTCTGAAATGGTATAGGGATTCCTGCCTGAGCAGGGAGTTGGACTTGATGACCTCCAAGATCCCTTCCAACTTTTTTTTTTATTATTATTATTATTATTATTATTATTATTATTATTATTATTATTATTATTATTATTATTATTATTATTATTATTTATTAAGGAAGGAGGAGTACAGATACTCTTTGACTTACGACCTCAATTGAGACCACAATTTCTGTTGTTAGGTAAGACAGTTGTTAAGTGAATTTTGCTCCATTTTACAACTTTTCTTGCCACGGTTGTTAAATGAAACGCTGCAGTTGTTAAGTCAGTAACATGGTTGTTAAATGAATCTAGTTTCCCCATTGACTTTGCTTCTCAGAAGGTCACAAAAAGTGATCAAGTGACTCTGGGACACGGCAACTGTCATAAATACATGCCAGTTGCCAAGCATCCGAATTCTGATCACGTGACCCTGGGGATGCTGGAAAGGTCGTAAGTGTGAAAAAAGGTCATGTCATATGTTTCCACTGCTGTTGTTAAGTTCGAACAAATGGTTATTATGTCGAGGACTATCTGTATTAGATACGTTCACTGCCTTGAGTTATTTATAAAAATAAGAAAGGCGGTGTATAAATCAATAAATAAATGTTGAGACCAAAGCTAGGGCAGAGGTCCCCAACTTTTTGGGCACCAGGGACCAGTTCCATGGAGAGAGGTTTTTCCATGAACCAGAGTGTGTGTGGTTTTGTGTGCTGCTTACATCCCGCAGATGGGGCTTTGGTTGTTTGTGTGGACCGGTGCTGGCACGCCGCGGCCCGATACTGGGCCACGGACCGGGAGGTTGGGGACTCCCGAGCTAGGGGAACCCTGGCTCTGCTCCCATGAAGCCCTTACCTGATGTAATTGGCACGTGATGTAGCAAATGGAGGGGTCATTTTCATCTTGTTCAATGTAAGCCTCCACGGACAAAGTCTTCCCCTCCAGAACCAAGGCACATTCATAGTCCCAAAGCTGATCCTTGAAGGGAAAGAAAAGTAGAGTTGATTCTTATGAATGAGATTCCTGCATTTCTCTCCAAACCTTCCATGTAATTCTTCTGAGCTGGCCTTGGGCAAATGCATCAGTCTTCACTGTCTACAACATTTAGACTATTTCAAACCCAGGTTTGTTCCATCCCATTCCCAAATCACTTTGCAAATTTGGTAATCTTTGTACATTTCCTTTTGCATGCGCATTTTCATTCTTAACTGCTTTATTTATGCCATTTTCCCCAACATGCACGTATTTTTGGCAATACATCTCACAAAGATACATTATTTTTTTGTACATGATTCCACACACAGGAGATTTCGGGCCTGGGGGAGGCTGCTGCCAGGCGTGGGGGAGATTTATGTGGGCGACTCACAACCGTCACTGCCGGCATCTCTGCTGACTTTGCTTGTGGGAAGCCAGCAGGGAAGGTGGCAAACTGTGATCCTAGGACAGTGGTGGTGAACCTATGGCCCGGATGCCAGAGGCGGCACTCAGAGCCCTCTCTGTGGGCATGCGCGCCGTCGCCCCAGTCCTAGGCCTTCAGCTGGGTTTTATAAAACCTTTTCGCTTTAGGCCTCCGCCGCTGTGTGCAAAAAAAAAAAAAAAAAAAAAGGTTCAATCAGTCAATTTCAATTTCTCACGGGGAAAAAAAAGATCTCACAAAGTTGGAATTGATTGATTGAACTTTTTAGTCCCACCCAGTCTGCCGTTACCACCGCAGCCACACCCACCCAATGGGCCATACCCAGCCAATGGGCCACACCCACCCAGCACCCGACGATGCATAAGTGGGTTTTGCGTTGCAGTTTGGGCACTCGGTCTCTAAAAGGTTCACCATCACTGTCCTAGGATGTTGCAACTGTTGCCTGAACAGGTTGCCAAGCATCCAGATCACGATCGTGATCGGGAATGGAGTGACTTTAAGGCCTAATTGTAAGTTGTCACCCATTCAGCACTGTCACAGCTTCCAACAGTTGCTGAACAAGTGGTTGGTGAGTGAGGACTCTCTATATAGCACTTGCTTTTGAAGGAAAGAGAGCAGGAATATACTTTACCCTTCATCTTTCCTTTCACAGCCACTAACAGTGAAACCCACAGAATTAATTTGTAGCAGGAGCAGGACAGTCATACAAAAGGCGTAAGCAGGGGTGTCCTTGTAAACATTTAAGAATTGTCTCTGCCGGCTCCATTTCAATCAGCGCAGAGCAGCTGATTGGCATGCTAAGCTAGGCAATCAATCAAAGCTTCATTACTGTCCCAGACTAGCAAAATGCTGGGCTAGTGGCTCAGCACTGCTCCCAATTAGCTGGCAAAATTCCAGAAAATTTATTAATCGGCTTTCACAAGCCAGTGCAAGCTGGTTCCAGCACACCGCTGGATGTATGCCCTCTCGATAGCACAGAGTCACAACACCCTCCCACCCCACCCCCACCACCTGACCCACTGCCACAGTCTTGCCTGATAGAGGTGGAAGTTTTGTCCAATCAGGGTGATCTTTCTCTGCACGTTGACCGGCATCAGAGAAGATCCCTGGATGCCCCTCACACACGGACAGGCTTCGGGCCCCCAGCTGTACTCCTCCGTCTGAAAGCACACAAACACACTGAAGGGAGTTAAAAAAAGGATTCTGCGCAGCTTGCTGTGATTAACAGGACAGAACATACACAAAACACCGAAACCAGGTTGTCTTATACAGGTAGTCGCAACTGAGTCCATTATTTCTATTGCTAACTGAGACTTTTGTTTTGCCCCACTTTCTTGCCACAGGTGTTAAGTGAATCACTGCAGTTGTTAAGTTAGTTGTCAATGCTGCTAACATTGGATGTTCTTGCTTTGACAACATATGGAGATGCAGCCTTTTTCTTTCTTATGCTTTACTCTTAGAACTGGATGATACTGGGGGAGGAGGAGGAATGTGATGGGAGTTAGTTAGACATAACAATATTATAATNCCGGAACGCGGCGGAACCGCGTTCCGGCACCTTTTTCCGGGCCGGCCGCACCGGAAATAGCCCCTCCCGCACCGGAAATAGCCCCTCCCAAATTTTACTTGCATTCCTGTTCTCTAAAGGGGCGGTCCTAGGGTTTGATGAGGGCGTGGCCAGGTTTGAGTTCCGCCACCTTTTCTCTGAGAAAAAAAGCCCTGATTATAATAGTGTGTGAACTCAGGGCTTTTGAAATAAGAGATGATAAGCAATGGTGGGTTGGTGTAAAGGAGGGAAAGCCTGCATTTCAAACTAATTGGAGAATGTGATTTATGACTGTTAATTAGAGGAAGGAATTGTGCTTTGATACTATGTGCTCAGGGGAGGGGAATCCAGATTTTGGCTTAGCTTATGTATGTGCCGATGCTATGCTGCTCAAATAAAGATTCTTTAAGGTAAACAATGCCTCAAAGTTCTTTGAAGAGTTTCATCTGTCGGAACCATGACATTAGTAACACGATTGTTAAGTGAATCTGGCTTCCCCATTGACTTTGCTTGTCAGAAGGTGGCAAAAAGGGATCATGTGACCCCGGAGACACTACAACAGTCATAAATATGAGCCAGTGCGAGATTGTATAATATTGTATTATATAGGGGAATATATATATATATATAGAGAGAGAGAGATGTATACATAGAACTTTAAGTATGATAAGGAACGAATTGTTAGGATTATATATACTGGAGTGTCATGTCATGTCCTTTTTTGTTTTAATTGTTTTATTAATAATTTTTTTTAAAAAAATAATAATAATAAATAAATAAATATGAGCCAGTGGCCCAGCCTCTGAATTTTGATCACGTGACTGTGGGGATGCCACAACAGTCGTTAAGTGTGAAAAATGGTCATAAGTCACTTTTTTCAGTGGCATTGTAACTTCAAATGGTCACTAAATGAATTGTTGTTCAGCCGAGGACTACCAGTAAAAACAGAGAAAGCAGAAACAGGCCCAAGAACAGATCAAATGTCTGGGTGAAAATATCTTTTTCTTGTCAATTCGTAACTCGCACAAGGCATCTGAAGAAGAGTCTCTCACCATCCCGGCTCGGTAGCTTGGAGCCACAGGCAGGAGGTTCTCCAGAAAAGCTCTCCTGTCTAAAAGTTTCTATTACAATCCAATTTTACAAACAGGTGGGAGGGTTTTCCCCCTGCTTTGCCCACCTAACATCTGGGGGTTTATCGGCCTCACAGTCAGCTAGTCTAGTTACTAAGTTCTGGAGGAGAAGCACGATTGACAGATGACTAACTTTGGTCCTAAAGACAAGGATTCCTCCTACATGCCTCTCCAAGTTGTGGGAGAGAACAAAAATCAAGATGAATCCTGTTTTATAATTTGGCCTCATTAATCTGACAAAAATGGTTTTAAATACATTTGGCAAAGATTCATAGGAAGCAGAGTATTAAAAACACACTTGGCTATAAACCCTGTATTTCTGTATTCTTATAAACGTCAGGATTGCGCGTGGCGTTCCCTGTGACGTTTGGTGGAAGTGAACGTTGGACTTTGAAGAATATTGACATCTTTGAATTTGGTATTGGAGAAGACTCCTAAGAATGCCACGGACAGCCTAGAAAACAAACCACTGGGACATCAAATAAATCAACCCAAAGTTCTCATTCAAGATGCAAGTAACCAGAATAAAAATATCCTACTTCAGAGACATTATGCAAAGACTCAGGTCTCTGGGAAAAGGCTCCAATTCAGAGTAAGATGGAGGGAAAGAGGAGAAGAGGATGGCCAGTAGCCAGATGGACCAACTCAGTTACAGTGGTGATAAAGGCACCAATGGAAGACTGGAAAGAAGCAGCTGAACTCCACATAGGCGTCAGGAAGGGCATATGACCAGTAAATATTCAGCTGTAGTGTTCTGAAGTGAAGCATGAGGCCTTACCAAATCCAGAAATCCAGGTGCATCATATTGATAATCTAGTGCTGGGTTCAGAATTCGAGGAAAATCAGAGATGTCACTCTCAGAGGAGTCTCCATCACCCGAGAGAAGGATGGACGCAGAAAAAGAGGAGGTGTCGTTTTCCGGTGGCAGCGAAACCATCCATTCCTCACTCTCCTGGGATTCTGTGATGTCTTCAGGAGGAAGCCATTTTGGAAGGTCTGTCGGGTAGGGCAACTCCAAAATGGGAGGCTCAGTCTCCAGGTCAATTGGTGGTACATTAGTAGATGTGGAAGGGCTTCCGGTCTGGTTAGGGGTGAGAGGACTTAGGGGAGAAGATGTAGGGGCAGCAGATGGGGCGGAGGAACCTTCAGCTTCAAGAAAAGGAGTCTTTCCCTCCAGAACAGGCTGGGGTGTGCTATACATGGCAGCAGAAGAATCCGTAGAGCCATCTTCTGGATCCGTAGCTGGTTCTGAGGTAGGATACACTGTGGAAGAAAGTATCTCCATCTGGCTGCTGGAGAGATATTCTGAGGTAGGACCAGCAGTCGCAGTAGTGGGCACTTCAGTGGGAGGCAATGTCAGAGAATCCCAGGTTGTCTCCAGCAAAGTAACAGTACTTGGGGTTGATGGAGATGCCTCTGTGAAAGTAAGGGTTTCAGGCTTCAAAGTAGTCAGGGCAGAAGTGGCTGGCAGGCTGGTGTAGATCATGGGAACGGTGGTGGGAACAGGCCTGGAAGTGGTCCCCGGTGTTTCTGAGAATGTAGGGGGTTCAGTGGCCAAAATTGGCAAAGATGACTGCGTTGTATTTGGAGTGGCTGAGGAAGGGAATGGGCTGGAGTCCAGTATTTGAGTCTGGAGAAGCGAAAGGGAACAGAGAAAAGACAGCTAGTCAGTGCTGGGAAGGGGAAAAAAACAGGATCAGAAGGAGGCCACACTCTGTGGTTGAGTTCATACAACATGCTAAATCACAAAACCAGCTTAGTTATACTGTTGCTGTGTTCGTGTTGAATGCCGTCACCAAACAAATAAACCACGTTAGGGTGTGATGTGATAGTGTGGGCCACAGGATGCGCCTGAAATGCATTTTGGTGTAACTAGTGTATTATGCAATACCATTTTTTTAAAACACGTGAACAATTCTTGTGCAGTTGGGAGCGGTAAGTGGTGGTCAGCGATATCCAGGCACAAAAATTAATCTATTTCTGACTTCAGAAAGCAATTCTAAAAAGATGGATTATATATAAGTAGCAACCCACTGGTTCTCAGGTTTACTTGAAAAGTGCCCAGAAGTATTCAAGTCTCTGTGAAGGTCTCATATTCTGAACCAGACCAATGGTCCACCTGAGCTAAGATTCTTATAGGCTAGGAACATGCTATCTTTTCATTCCCAGTGTTTTTATTGCAATTTGGATCTAGGGCAGGGGTAGGCAATCTTGGCTCTTTTATGACTCGTGGACTTCAACTCCCAGAATTCCTGAGCCAGCCAAGCTGGCTCAGGAATTCTGGGAGTTGAAGTCCACGAGTCATAAAAGAGCCAAGATTGCCTACCCCTGATCTAGGGATTCACATTAAATATGTACAAATGCTCACGCACATGTATTCACGAATCCCTCACTGTCATCGTTCTCCTAGAAGACCGATATTGTTGATGATGATGTTATCCATTCAGACATGTCTGATTTTTGGCGATTCTATGGGCCAGGTCTCTCCACGTCTTCCGATTGTGCACTGTTTGTGTTTTTTCTATGCTCTGGCTGGAGTCAGCTTTGATGGTGTCCAGCCATCATGATCTTTGGTGGCCTGGTTTCCTCTTACCGCTAATTCTACCCAACGCAATTGCTTTGTGAAATCCCCCACGTGATGGGGCCAAAATAAGTGAGACGCAGTTTCGTGATTTAAAAGACCGCCGAAAAACCTACCTTCTTATTGTAGATGATGGACCCATCTTCACAGACAGTTTTGTGTGTGCAGAGGTGTTGATGGACGCACCAGTTGCAGCCCCAATGACTGCTCACACATCCCTGGCACCTAAGAACCAAGAACACGACAGCTGTTGAGTAGACCCAACAAATCAAAGCGAGAATGCAAATTGTGGGAAAAAGGCATCTGGGGAAAGGAAAGGTCTCTTCATGGACGTACGGTGCAGATCTCCTCAGGGAAGCCACCGCAGAACAGTCATAAAAGGAGAAAGTTGTTGAGGCAATGAAGATGTCGTGGAAGCGCACCTCCAGCTGAATGGTGATGTGGTCTGAAAATGGAAATCAGGCAGGCTTCAAACATGATCCCACAGCAAACAGCAACTGCAGCTGGAATTTTTATATTTCCAGTCTTAGGGACTTACACATTAATATTTTTTGTTTCTTCTGTCTATGCTTTAGACATAAACAGGAAAGATTACAGGTACTGTAATCCTTTGACCTACGAACGGTTGACCTACGACCCTTGACCTATGACCGGTTGTCTAGCAACCATTTACAACTGGCTTGGGGCTACTTATGACCTGGACTGTAACCAAACTTTAGGCACCCAGCAACATGGCCACATTTATGTCTGTTTGCAGCATCCCGTGGTCACATGACAGTGTTTTACAACCATTTTACTGAAAACTGACACTTCTGGCTTTTGGCAACACTACACCTCTAGTGAACCATGCATTTTTGCTTCGCAACTGGAGTGTCCACTTAATGACTGCCTCAAAAAAATCTTATTAAATCAGGTTGGTCACATGACTGACTAGTTTTACTACTGTTATGACTTATAGCAGAAATGGGCGGGGTCCATTGCAGTCATATGTTGAGGACTGCCTGTTATTCAGAGAACTAGCTGAAGGGCGGCTAAGGCTTCTTCAAGGCCAGTATTTTAAGACAATATTGATGCCGATCACATTCATGAGAGCACAACATTTATGGTTCCCAAGTAACTACTAATACCAATCCTGACTTAAATCTGGCTTTGCCAGAGGCCCTGTTAAAATAGGGTGGGCTGATCCCTGTTAAAGACTTTGTCTCCTCTTGGAGAGTTGGTGGTGCCACAGACAGCTGAGGCAAATACAGCTGGGACATAAAAACAAAACTATGTGGTGGTGGGGAGGATATCCATTCTCTCTCTCTCTCTCTCTCTCTCTCTCTCTCTCTCTCTCTCTCTCTCTCTCTCTCTCTCTCTCTCTCTCTCTCTCTCTTTCTTTCTTTCTTTCTCTCTTTCTCTGGATTTGTTTGTCTTTTTCTCCCAGGCAAAAGAGAAGAGACTGCTTTTAACCAAAGGTCTAAAGCAGTGTTTCTCAACCTTGACAATTTTAAGGCATGTGGACTTCAACTCCCAGAATTCCACAGCCAGCAATGCTGGCTGTGGAATTCTGGGAGTTGAAGTCCACATGCCTTAAAATTGTCAAGGTTGAGAAACACTGGTCTAAAGTGATTTGAATTGAAATTGAAGACTGAATGTAGCCTACTCGCAGCCCACCACTTACTTAAGTTTGAAGATGCATCAGGCTATAGAAAATCTACAGTGGGCCTCGTATCTTCTCCTAGATCAGTGGGGGAAGTCTATGGGATGCCTAGGCCTCATATGTGACCCTTAGAATGGTTGGATGGATATTTGTGGACCTTTCTGAACATTGGGAGATTTTAAGCTGTTACCTGCATAAATTAAACATCAAGTACATTTTTTATCTCCTGTTTTTAGGAACTTAGGGAATAACCTCTTGCAGAAATACCAAGCCACAATTTCACGCTCGATCATTCTGGTAATGTCATTAGTTGTTCTCCTCACAGCTTCGCAGTTTCGAAGCAAGGCAGAATGAAACGATATGGCCCTGAGACTAAAAAAGGATGTCCACTCTAGCCCTGTATCTCATACAGTCAAACGTAAGAACCAGCTGGCTTCATTACAAGCAAACTGCTTGCTGTTTCATTCTTGCACAGCGGCTTGATTATTCTTTCTAAAATATTTCCAACATGTAGATCCCACTGTGCTTGTCACTCACCTGTCCCAGTGTTCAAACTTGGGGCATGGTTGGGATCTGGTGAAGGACACATAATGCCTGAACCCATCAGTATAGCTGGGCTCTTATATTCTCCAAAGAAGCACGAATAAGACTCTCCATTCTGTAGGGCTGGCAAGTCCGAGAAAGTCAGGAATATCTGTCAATCAGAGAGTAGACAGATTAGAACAGTTGCTCTTCCTAAGTAAGATTCTCTTGTAATTAGCACATTCTTCCCTTCTGAAAACGAATGACGGAAAATGGAGAAAAACAGATTTGTTTGTCAGGAGCCAGAAGAGAGTTCAAAAACAATGCAAGTTTATTCCATGTAACCCATACACAAGAATCTGATCTACTCAAGGTAAATTGGTGCCCGAAAAGAGTCAACAGACTTTGGAAGGGGGGGACTTTGGGGGATGTAGGACTCCAGACTGATGATGCGTTTGACTCATCCCTTAGGTCAACCTGGTCATCTCCTACATTGTGGGGATAGGAGCTCATATAAGTGAGTTGGAGACCTAAGTTTAAATCTATGTAAACTGACAATACTTCTCTTTATCGAGAAGTGACATCCAGGCCTCTCCAAACATTCTTGTAAAATATGATGTTGGTCAACTAAGCTGAAAATAGGCCATATATGAAGCATAATGGTGCTCTTTGTGAACAGTGAATTTAAAAAGTTTAAATTTTGGCTGTAATTGCACAATGTGCTTGATTAAGTCAATTTTATATATATAGTGTTTGCACATTGTGTAAAGTTGGGTGGGAATAACGTGTTTGTTTATTTTCTGCTTACTGTGTTATTTGATTCTTCGAAATAGATTAATTTAGTAACCAGATTAAGCATTTGCGTGAAGACATTCTGTCATTGCTACAATTATATCCATGTAGTAATTTGCTATTGAGTTGAATCTGCCCTCTCTAATCATCTTATTCATTTCCAAGTTGAGGAAGGCCAGTTTAGACTGTCAAAGGAACACAGGAGTTTTGTCTATTTATTCCATAAAAACTGGCAGGATGGAAGAACAAGAGTAGAATAGACTGGCCCTCTGGCGCTTAGGAAGAAGTTCCTTCTCATATGGGATTACCTAGGTCAGGGGTAGGCAACCTTGGCTCTTTTATGACTTGTGGACTTCAACTCCCAGAATTCCTGAGCCAGCATGGCTCAGCTTGGAAACCTCTCCCTTTCCCCTCAGCATGGCTGGCTCAGGAATTCTGGGAGTTGAAGTCCACGAGTCATAAAAGAGCCAAGGTTGCCTACCCCTGAACGGTACCAAATGATTCTTTTGCATCATTGCCGTACTCTTTCCAAAAACTTTCCCTAGCAGTATTCACGTCACAGCTCTCTCAGAAGCTGTTCTACAGAAAAGAGAGCAGTGATGAAGGTAGTGAAGGTGGTGATTTTGCTTCTCATTTTATAGGCCCTGCTGTGGTTGTCCCTTTGAACACAAGACCACAAGTTCTGCCCCCATCAAAATCAAACACAGGCAAATCTGTATATATTCTAGGCCAGGGGTAGGCAACCTTGGCTCTTTTATGACTTGTGGACTTTGACTCCCAGAATTCCTGAACCAGCCATGCTGGCTCAGGAATTCTGGGAGTCGAAGTCCACGAGTCATAAAAGAGCTAAGGTTGCCTACCCCTGACCTAGGAGGACTAAAGCTTTCTACTTGTTCTGAAGGCAAAGAATAACATGACTTGGATTTGGTTCTCCCATACTGCATTCACCTAAGAAGGTCTCTGCAAGCTGTACAAACTTGAAGTGAAAGACCAAGAATTTAGTCAACTAATTAAATATCCGACCCAGACTGAGCTTTCATCCAGGCACTGGACTGGTGCTAACCTTTTGCAGTATGTTCCTGAATCAAAACTTCTGGGCATCCAAAGTTCTAAACTCATGAATTCTGGGCAGTCACTGAACATTACTACACAGTGTTTTGGGATTCTTTTATTTCTTAAATCAGAACCAACCTTCACAACCAGTACCCACATTGGGTTCTGTTTCCAGGGTGGGATATGTCAAAGCCATGCTCATTGCTCTTACCTAGTTTGGGTAATGAAACGTTTGGAAGAAAACAACCAAGCTCAGAGAGCACCAAGGACCCAGCAATGCTTTTTATTGCTCTCTGCTGACCTATATGAGGGATACTTCTATTTCCATCACAATTGAAAGCTCTGAAGACAACTGAATTGTAACAAGGAAGATTTAGGATCTAACCTCCGATATATAGGCAGAGTTAAAGAAGACAGGACATAAAACTGTTGTTCAGTGGTGAATAACATGATTACATCCAGAAGATTCAAGATTCAATCCCTAACATTTTCCTAAGGCAGTGGTGGCGAACCTATGGCATGGGTGCCAGAGGCGGCACTCAGAGCCCTCTCTGTGGGCACGCGCGCCATCGCCCCAGTCCTAGGCCTTCAGCTGGGTTTTATAAAACCTTTTCGCTTTAGGCCTCTGCCGCCGTGTGCAAAAAAAAAAAAGGTTCAATCAATCAGTCAATTTCAACTTCTCGTGGGAAAAAAAGATCTTACAAAGTTGGAATTGATTGATTGAACTTTTTAGTCCCACCCAGTCTGCGGTTACCACCGTAGCCACGCCCAGCCAATGGGCCACACCCACCCAATGGCCACACCCACCCGGCACCCGACGATGCATAAGTGGGTTTTGGGTTGCAGTTTGGGCACTCAGTCTCTAAAAGGTTCGCCATCACTGTCCTAAGGGGTTGGAAAGAATTGTTGGCTGAAATTCTGGGAGCTGCTACCTAACAATATTGAAATGATCCACTGTTTGACACAACATGTGTCTTCTGCCTATCAGTGCATTCCCCCTCTTCTCTTTTGACCCACACTACGCTTGTATTGCATCCATTTGTTCTGACCAGGTTTTTTTTTTTGCTCCAACTGGTTATCCCATCAACATCCATTTAACATTTTGCGACAATAGCAAGACCACAAATAGACTCCATGTTTTCTCTTCCTGTAAAAGATGTTTATGCCACTCAGGTTTTTAGTGTCACTGGAGGGTGAGGAACCATCTCATGATGGCGTCTCTGCCTTCAAAGGGAAATGTGACGGATCACAGCTCACGTTTTTCTGTTCTTCCCTGCTGATGCTGGTGGGGCTCAGAGACAGGATGGATAGACACTGCTGGGCAGAATGAAAGCCCCACAGCCACTGCTCTTTCATGCGGAAACTGGTGCATTCGGAGTGACGGCTACACCTGCAGACACAGATAAAGGCAGAGCAACGAGACTCTTGAATGAGGCGATTATATGGGATTGCCTGGAAACCTCCATGCTGTTCCCAGAAAATATATTTTCTGCACAGGGAAAATAATAATGCTGCTCAACCTTAGCAATTTTAAGAATACCAAAGGTGCTTTTACAAAAGGCAACTGGACTTTATTTTTCGTTGAAAATGTTTCACTTCTCATCCAAGAACAGAACAGAACAAAGAATATAGAACAGAACAGAACAGAATATTGGCCAAGTGTGATTAGACACATAAGGAATTTGTCTCGCATTTATAAGCTCTCAGTGTTCATACAAACAATAAAGTAATATAATCATAGAATACCAATAGGAGAAGGTAACAGAAAAAGATGAGAAGGATATCTGAACAAGTTGAAGTCCAGACATCTTTTTTTTTATTAAAAGTTTTGTAACATTTACAAAATAAACCCCCTTCCCACCCCCCAAAACCCCCCCACCCACCACCCACCCCACTTCCCAGAGCTGTTCACCGGGTTACAAATATATTAATCATAATCTAAATAACATTATCCAACTAATTATGTAACCAAATCTATAACACACTTTAACTCCCTTTTAAAATAAATTTAGATAATTTGAAATTAAACACAATAATAAACAAATAATCAACTTAATTATTAAACAAAATTACTACTCAAAATAATAATAATATCAATATAATAAAATATAATAAAAACTATAA